GAGAGTACTTTTTCTTGTCGATGTTTTTAAGAGTCTGGACTCTAGATCCAATGTGTTTTCTTTCCAGTGAGGGTGGAAAGTTTTTGATAATAAATTGAAACCGGGAAAAGTCAGAGAATTTAAACCAACCCTAAAAAGTTGGGCAGTGTCCAACGTGTACGCAGGGTGGCAAGTTTTTGAAAATAAATTGAAGCCGGGAAAATTCAGAGAATTTAAACCAACCCTAGAGAGTCGGGAAATTCCGGTGATGAACCTTGCAATTTTGTCTTCTAACAATAATGTGTAAGTACTTCTCTCCACATTCACACGCTCTATCGCCGAAAATCAGAACTTCTGTCTCTATGTTCTCGAATTTTTATAGTTTCAATTCAAGATGCTATGTGCAAACATTTTTTTGTTTAAAGCATTTTCAGAAAAAGTATGGGGAAAAAAAGTTATGGATAGGTCGGGAAATTTTGAAATCTGAGTTAACTTGTAGCCCTGGTATGGAATTTCAAGATGATCGAGGGGAACTTGAAGAAATAGCCTCGGAGGTAGGCAATCGTATACCGCTTTCCTAATAGGTCTGCGAGTTATAAGCTTTCATGGAGTCCAAGGGGTTCAGATTGTTCTATGCCTCCGCAATTTCCTGCAACGCGCTGGGTTTTCGCAAAATCTCAACAAAACTTGCTGATTAAAATTGCAATACATTTTTAAGAAGCGCCCTAATAGTCTTACCAATACAATTATAAAATATTTTAAGAAAAAAAAATTTAAAGTGAAAAAGCAAGAAAAGAACATTAATAAGCATGAAACCCTTCGAACAAAAATATAAAAGAAAAGGTCAGTCTCAACTATTTTAGGGAGTTTCCTCCATTTTGTCTGTACCTACCACGCGGTAATTTGCACCCCAGATGGGATCTGTAAAGCCCTATGTCAAAAAGCAACATGACGATACACTTCTAAGCGTGATTGGATTTCTTTAAATTTCTAGCCTTTAAATTAAGTTCGAAATAATCCCGAATCGATTGCTTTCCATGTATACATTTAAATGTAGGGAAAGCATTGTTGCCAACTTAGAAGTATCGCTTCTGGTGAGGAAGGAAAGTCGGCTTGGAATGGATTTGAAACTGATTGTGAATGCTGCTGGAGCCGGGAGCGCCTAAAATCGGGCGAAGCTCCTTCACAATCCCGGATGGAAAAAGCATCACGACCCACTGACGACCTACTAGCAAACGCGCGCCTCGCTGCCAAATCTCAGGTCGCGTTAATTAGAATTCCCTCTAAACTCCACACCTAGGTTGACCAGCACCAGGCCACAAACAGCGAGAATTCCAATTCCCTTATATCTTCAGGTATTCGCAAATCAGGGTGACTACAGGATGCCTCGAGCCGGCGATTTTGCAATTTGGCAACATTCTTCCCCCACTTTAAATCCATCATAAATATCGATTTTAGGTGAAGCAAGCTTCCTCTCCAAGGATCGATTGTTTTACACACATTTAAATGGAGGAGAAACAGTGTTGCCAAATTTAAAGAGTGGCCACTGGTGGAGCCCTGGACGACCGCCTAAGAGATGGGCACAGACGAGCGCTCGAATATTTTCTGCGGGCTGATCGTCGAAATTGATAGACAAAGCGGTAGACAAAGAAGACATAAGGAGTATGGAGCGATCTTATCGATTGAAATGAGTGGTTCTTTAAGACCAAGGGAGAAAATGATAACTATAAGGTCTCCCGTGAGTTGCCGTTAGCTAGTCTATCACCTACCTTGCAACTACCCTTCTGCACCAACAGGGTCCCTCCAAATTCTTTTTGTCTTCTTTGTCTATCGCTTTGTCTACCAATTCCAGCAATTAAGCCCGCTACACCCTTGTTCGTGAGATGATATGTCCCTATCGTAACATCACAGAGAAAGGACCACCGTCCTGAATTCGATCTTCCTCTCAATTAGCAATGTTACGGGCCGAAAAGAGATTTTTCTGTTTAAATTTTAAAATGTACACGCTGAAAAGGGCAGAAACGGACATCTGTCATAAGATGCGTTCTGTGAAGGCATCAGAGAAAAAACGTTGCTAATTTTTCATGGATTTCCCGATGACAAACTTTCGTCATGTGACTATCATGGCAGCTCAAGTAGACATTGAGGTTATCTCGACGCCCGGCGGTCTTGCCCAGCACCTTTAGGTACTGGGCAATTACGTTGGCCGATGATCCGCCATGACAGTCATCGGGTAATTAGCAAGAAGTCAGCAAGTTTTCAAGAACGATCGTCAAACACTCAACGGTACTCATCGGGTAACCAACAGTTGACCTGATGCCTCAAGAGAACGCAACTAAAACCCAGTGACTCGGAGGTCCAAAGAGAATGGAAAACGCATTCGCAAACGAACATGATGAAGGAAGGCACCTCGAAAATGGAAGCTTGAGATCCACAGAGAGGATGGGTGGGAGGGAAGAGAAGAGATGGGCAGAAGAGGCGAAAACTGAAGCGGCGGGGAAGAGGAGAGTGCAACGATACCGGCTGTAGGTGCGAATGGCGGGGGCTTCAGTATGTATTTAAGCTCGACAAGGAACATGATTTTCGCAAAAAGACGGGCGCGCAGCAACACCTGCAGCGAGAGGCTAGTTCATAGACAGACGGAGACTCGTGCAAAAAGGAGAAAGAGACACGACGAACGGGGAGGGGGCGAGGGGGGGGGAGGGGGGCGGCCACGGGGCACGACTAAGTTATTCTATAAATATAAGGCGGATCGATAGCGTAGCATAACGTGGTAGGAAAGTCTCCGTACTGTTGACTGCGAGATGCTCCACTCACACAGGCGTCCAAACAAACACACACAATCCTCGTCGACATTAAGATGAAATGAGCCTGCCAACAATCCGCCGAGTGAAGACTTTAACCCCCTTCACCCCCTGCTCCGGGGCCGCGGCCGTGGGAAGGGGGTGGCGCGGAGCCGGCGAGAGACGTCGTCGTCGTCCGTAGAACGCGACGCGGCGCGGCGTAGCGCAGCGCGCAACGATTTAACATCGTGGTCTACCTGAAGCCAGATTCCGTTTATTAGATCCTGCTTAGCGCACCTCACTCGGTTCGTGCCCTCTATAATTCTATATTCGGGACTGCCCTTGGATTTTTAGAAAGATGCACGGAAAAAGCACTGGAAGATCCGCGGAGAAGTTTCAAACCATCCGCGTGTAGTCCGGAAAAAAGGTCCGTGTCCGCAAAATAGAGAATTTGCAAGTGTCTGAAAGTTGATGAATTTCGTGTTCAAGTGGAAACTACTGAGTGAACTGAACACGAGGATACCCTTGGTTCATGAATTGAACGATTATTGAAGAAGATATCATAAAATTATGTAATCTGCTAAAATACGTGTGTTAAAATGGGAAATGCCGCCAGATGACGTCACTAGGCGGTGCATTTTCTCACTTCCAAACACTGGAAGAAAAACTCATTGGATCTAGAGTCCAGACTCTTGAAAACATTGACAAGAAAAAATACTCTTGATTCAATCGGATTTTTGCTTGAACCTAAACGAAATCCGCTGAAATTAAGAGGCTTGGTTCTTGATTTAAGCTAGATTCTGATTGAATCAAGAGTACTTTTTCTTGTCGATGTTTTTAAGAGTGTGGACTCTAGATCCTATGTGTTTTTTTTCCAGTGAATTTATTTTTATACTATTTCCCATATCAGAAAAAAGATAGAAAATACTGTGAAATCAACTCTTTAAGCACTTTCTGATGAAGCAATAAAAAATTTACATGCAAATTCTCCACTGTCTGCATTGGAAACCATAAAATACGCATTAGATCCGAAGTTCCGCACTTATACAAGATCCGCAGAACAGCCCACAAGCTCAGATGGAGCTCTCGCACGTGCGGGCAATTTGCTGTTAAAGCGCATTTTTCTTGCGTAAATTTTCGCGAGAAACGCGATGGTGCCACTGGTTTTCTCTGGAACGAACTCCAAAGTTCCGATAAAGCTCTCAGAGTTAAGGCAGGAATACTGTCGTGCTAAGGAAAAGCGCAGTATGAACCTTCAGACGTTGCCAAGTGTCCTCCGATAAAAACCAAATTTTCTGGGAAAACTGCGAATATTATTTTCCAAAATTTTCAAGAAATTTTGTACGCAATTTAATCTAGAATACCTGAAAATTTCACGGAAAATATGCACAAATGTTGTAAGAAAAGCATGTTTTATCGAGGGAAATTTGGCAACTCTCGAATGTTCATACGGCGTTCTTCCTTAGCACGGCAGAATAAAGGGAACATCCCACGCTACCCTGAGAGCATATCAAGTCAAAATTGTCCAAGCACAGATAGGGAGCAAAATACAGCAACAGGGTCGCCGCGTTTTCATTTTTTGAAACACCCCCAAATATAGTTGCAATCCTGTTAAAGTATTCGCTCCCTATCTTCGCATGGAGAGTTTGACTTGAAATGCATACAGGTATACTCTCAGGAAAGTGTGGGATATCCCCTCTATTACGGCCAATACAGTAGACTCTGGATTATCCGGATTAATTGGTGCCGGGCCCGATCCGGATGAAAAAGAAATCCGGATAATAATAGCAAACACAAACACCACCAACCAACACCACAGTATTCTTATTATGTATACATCATGTACATACCAACACGAATTTAAAAGGTTAACGCCAAACTGAACGACTCAATGGTGATTGTGAATGGTAGCCGACAATGATAAATTACAATACAGCGATTAAAGCGCGCAATGCGTGAAGTATTCATGCAGTCTTGTAGCCGCTAATGTGCGTTTTAGGCTAACTAACCGACTGCATTGAGTTTGGCGTAATGCGAGAAGTATTTATGCAATCTAGTAGGCACTAATGCGTTCCACGCCGACCTCACTGTTTGGCGCAGTGCGCGAAGTATTCCTTCAGCCTTGCAGGCGCCAATATGCCTTGCGACCGCTTCTCCATGATTAAACCTACTGATAGGTTCGCGTTTTTTTGTCGCTTTTGATAATTTGATTTGACGTTGTATTCGTATGATTTTCAGGCGCTGGCGTGAAGATGGAGCATCACTTCCAAGCTGCGCTGGATCCCCGGAAACAAGAATTGTTGGAAGCGCGCTTCATCGGAGCACGGGTAAGTCGGATTTCGTCGTTCTTTTACTGCTTTCAGGGTTCCCCCGCTGTCCCAAGGATAGGAATTCTAGGGAAGTCCAAGAAAATGAAACGTAACGTAGCTTCGGAGGGGAAACAACACTGGAAAAAAACACATTGGATCTGGAGTCCAGACTCTTAAAAACCTCGACAAGAAAAAATACTCTTGATTCAATAAGATCTCAGCTTAAATCAAGAGCCAAGCTTCTTAATTTGAGCGGATTTCCTTTTGATTTAAGCTTAAATCTGATTGAATCAAGAGTCCTTTTTCTTGTCGAGGTTTTCAAGAGTCTGGACTCTAGATCCAATGTGTTTTTTTTTTCCAGTGAATCCGTCAAATCGTTGCTTCTCACAATCAGTCAGAAGAATGTAACAAAATTTCCAGGATGTCTACAAATCCGGAAATAGCACTGATTTTTTTAAGGGCGGTCTAATCATACTGAAATAGTACGGAGATTCCGTAAGAAGGTCCGGAATTTTTTTCATTTTTTTTTTTGTCGTTTTTGTCGCAATTTAAGCAAGAAATTCAAATGTGTAAAATTAGTCGAATTTCGTCAAATGGAGACTCTGAAAGAGAACTGAATTTTTCTGTTAAGGAGGTACTGAATTTCTTGGGAATACTGAAAAAGGACTGTGAAAGTACTGATTTATGGCCAGCCTGTTTTAGTAGACACCCTGGTTTATAGCGAGGGTATTTCTTATTGTTTCACTAGGAAATTCATGTCGCGGCACATCAAACAGGAACTTTTTCTCAATGGAAAATGGGAAAATCCTGGACATGACATCTGCGGAGAGGCCGAGTTAGTGACGGAAAGCACAAAATTGGCAACTAGAAGCGAGTTTAACTGTATTAAAAATGAGATGAGCTTATTTTTCATTAGGGTTAACGGGTCCCCTCGTCGACGCGACGGAATGAGCGACTAGTCTCAGCGACCGGTCGCGATCGCCGTTGGCCCGGGAGGGGGGGGGGGGGCACCGGACTGACAGAGGTCACCGTTGGTCACCGATCGGAACTGTTGGAGGTCGGTTTGGACGATTCAGATACAGGATGTGTGTACTGTTACATCGCAACAGTCAGCCTCTGACCGTATGTCATCCCATTTCGCCCGTGTATCCATTGATTCTGCCCTGCTTATCAGGATAAAAGCCGTATAAGCTTCCAGACGTTGCCTCATTTCCTTTCATAAAATACGAATTTATTGGGAAAAATTTGACTTTCCCCCTTCAGATTTCCCAGGCCATTTTGTCCGCATTTTAATCTAAAATATCTGAAATTTTCAAGGAAAAATGATTTTATCTTTCCTCAAAAATACACTTTTTATTCAAGGGGAATTTGGCAAATCTCGTATGTTACGGCGTTTTCTAATTTTCGGCCAATTTGGTCTAAGCGCAGATTTCAGTCCAACAATTTTCTCAAGGGCGGCGGAGGATTCCCTTTCAATGGAGAATTTTAAAGAACATATTCTTGGAATGTTTTCCGTGGACACAATCTGAATCGCTTTCAGGACTATTCCAACCGAGATCGTAGAATGTGTCGATTTTTCTGACTCCACGTTAAACATTTTCTTTAGCTCGTAGAATTTTAGTCACCGAGGTTCAACTCACCATTCATTGAACGCTTTAGTTTTTTCTCACAACGTATCTATCGATCCAGAGATTGAGTCAACCATGAATGGAAAATAATCATGAAACTTATATCAGCCATGATTATTTTCCGTAGAGTTGCTGTATACCCACTAACCACTAGTTTGTAGTTTGAAGCATGGACTTATAAACGAAAACCTACTTTCTTTTACATTATTTACTAATTGTTTCTTAGTATACACAGTAGAAATGTCAAGTGCTACTTACCGAGCAGAATAATATTGGCACTCAGGCATCAGTCCCTGAGTGCCTTCCGTTTATCAATCTGTATTATTACTAACATGGTTTTAATTTTTATCAAGTATCAAAGGAGGAAAAAAGTTCGCGAAATAAGAGCCCTATGTATTTGCCGAATGATAAGTTCGGTTTCGATTACCGATTCGAATTAAAGTGAAGTTGCAGGGTGCGGCACACCGTACACCTGACTTTAAATGATGTCAGTAGTCCCATTCACGATTCTTACTCTCGTCAAGATCTCATCATTTTTGGTAAATTTAACGTGTTCTGCGTGAAAGTCTGAATGAGAAAACGTGTTCAGTGGCACTTAAATTCTTACTCCGTCGAATAGCCCATTTTGGAGTACGTTTATAGGGAGAGTATGGACAACTCGAAAATTTGAAGGTCAGGTTTGATCAGGTCATGTAGCTCTTGGGGCCGAAAAGGGGAGGCAACCTATGAGCTCGAATTATCCAGTGGTACCAATTTTCACATTTCAACTATTTACACTGATCAAAAATTATAAAAGCACGTATAAAACATTGATTTCGCATACATCTTCTCAGTTTCAATTTTTTAATCCCGAAAAACGCTTGTTTTCCATGCGCCGTCGGCCATATTGAGTGATCCTCCAAATGTATAGGTTGGCAGCGACGCTTAGATAGCGATTTTTGTTTTTCACGTTGTCGCCCTTTCGGACCCCAAGAGTTACGTAACTCGAGTCGTCCATAAATATACTCTCCCTATAAGGATACTGTAGTCCACTCCAGCAAGTTCGTAGCACTCTGTTTTCTCAGTTTATCGCATGTAATCGATTCCAGCCGAAATAAGCACAGCTTAGAAAAATATCAGAGACAAATAGAGACCGAGCACGTTGGGTTTTCAGTGAGGCACATCTAATTCTCGGGGATCCAACGGAACAACAGTCATGTATTTTCTGATTTCGCCTAAAGTTGACTGATGCTACTCGGCTGTTGGCATTATGGTGGCTTGTTTACATTCTTCCTAATCAATTGCAAAGCGGAAAATTTTCCAATTTTTCATTTGAAACTCTTCCAAATTGTTATAAAATGACCTATTAGAAGGTAAAAAATTAATTCGCCCCTTTTAATCAACATTTGTGATACTTTCGGTGGTTTCACTTTATGTAGTGAGAAGCAGATTCCTCGAGACTCTGAGCCTGGTCCGCAGATTGTTCAACTTCATAATGGATAATTTTAGTTATCGAACTTTCTTTTGACTTTAAATGGTGTATAATTTTTTCTAGACTGTATCAATACCTTGTGATCAAATTCTCAATCTATTAACCTCCATATCATGTCGCAGGATAGAGATATTTTAGCTATTTGAGATCTGTCAAGAACCTGATCACAGCAGCACTGCCAGTCTTACAGATACACTGTATTGAAATTTGACGAAAAAAAATTTACTGTCTATGTCATAAGCTGCTCACTATGATAAGTATTAATCGTGGATCAAATGCTTGATGTCTCCAACATTCTATCTCTAAGCCTGATGTAGTGCGTTGAAAGCGGAGTGTTATGGCTGCGAAGCGTCGATATTTGTTGTTAAGGAGGCGTGTAAATGAAACGTTTGGATAAGCTCGCAAGCTGTACGAATTCTTTTGTGTGTGGAAAATAACTGAATGTCCAGAATTCTAAACATCTGACTGTATCTCAAGTACCTAAAAGAAATGTTGGTCAGGTCAGAGTTTGTGAATCCTTGGCAGCAGTTAATGCAATTCTTCTACTTATTTAAGGCCTTCGCTCATCAAAGTTAGGTAAGTAAGAGACCGCTCAGATCCATCATATTATGCTTGTCAGTATTAGCCCATAACTCCATAGTGTAAAAATCCTTGGAGGGTGAAGTGCCCATCATCTGATGGAGTTCCTGAGATTTGTTTAAGAACTTTTCTTCCTGATTATTCTCTCAATTTTACTAGAATTGTCTCTTCCACCACCATCATAAAGTATTTCAACCTTGCATTAAATGAGAAATGATGTGTACGCTATTAGAATTCCTAAAATTGGGAGTCGTGAAACAAATAAAGTAGCTTCACCGTAAACATTTGCTAGCTCAGTTGGCAGTAAAACTCTCATTAATTCGGTGAAAATAAAAGTAAATGTTTTTTCTTCGCTCATTTCGATGAGGAAACACATTGAATACATATAAATTGTGATACTGGATGCAACTAATACTACTTCCTGTAAAATTGGAAAATGTGTAACTCGAAAAAAGGAAAGAGGATCTCACCAGAGTGCTCTCTTACAACTTATAGATCAAAATTCGTGATATTTCGGCCCTTAAAGGTTCTTTCATCATTCAGAAATAAAGAAACTAAATTTAGTTTGAACAGGCATCTTTCAAGAAAGAAATGTGACAGCTTATTTGCAGTTTTTAGCTTTTTCATAATGCGTCAAATCTACCTCTTGACGAGAACAGGCGAAGATTCAAACCGCGCACTACTTATTGTTGGTTTACATTTCTCACTTACCAAACTTTAATGAGCAAAGTTGTTAAGTACGTAGGAGAATTTCAGTAACTGCTGCCAAGGATTCACAAACTCTGACCTGACCAACATTTCCTTCAGGTACTTGAGATACGGTCAGATGTTTAGAATTCTGGACATTCAGTTATTTTTCACACACAAAAGAAATTGTACTGCTTACAGGCTTATCCAACCGTTTCATTTACACAGCTCCTTAAAGACACATATCGACTCTTCAGTCGAAATGCTCCGCATTCAATGCATTACATCAGGCTTTGGGATAGGATTTTGGAAACAGAATTATTTACAGAGAATTATCTTGAAAAAATTACACACCATTTACAGTCAAAGAACATTTCGATTGCTAAAATAATTATCTATATGGTATATGGAAGTTGAACAATCTGAGGACCAGGCTGTCTCGAGGAATCTGTTTCTCACTGCAAGAAGTGAAACCACCGAAAGTATCACAAATGTTGAGTAGAAGGGGTGAATTAATTATTTACTTGGTAAAAAGTCATTTTATGACAAATTCGGAGAGTTTCAAAGGGAAAATTGGAAAATTTTCCGCTTTGCAAGTGATAAGGAAGAATGTAAACAAATCGCCATATTGCCAAAAGCTCACCAGATGCGAC